GTCTTACATGCGTGCCATATATCCTCATCTTTTGGAAGCTTCAGGTACTTTATTTTACTTTATGTTTGAGGACGAACACGATTTTTGGTGGTGGATAATGTAATGATCTGAAAGATCCTCTTTAGAATTTTTGAATATTTGTTTAACTTAAGTTAATTAATCGATAGTTAATGGACTAAAGTGAATATTTAATAAGATCCTATACTATTTGACCTTATATAATTAAATAAGTGAGTTAAATTTATCACTTTTAGAACTAATTAGTTGTGAAAATAAATAAACAAAAGAAAGAAAGAATAAAACAAGGGTTACAGTATCTCGTCGGTTGAAAACTGCTTCAGGTAAAATTTTGATTGAAGTTTTAATCTTCCCATGTATGCTATTGCATTGAATGCTCATTAGAATGCCTAGATTTTCATTAAATATTATATATTTATACATGTATGCAATTGAAAAGAGGGCTGTTGGGATAAAAATAAAATAAAATAAGTAAAAGATTGTCAGATCCTATACATTAATACTATTATATTATTATATTTTGTATTAGATTGGAAATTTGGATGAGGAAGACTTATGGTGTGGGTATTATTCCGGTGGCTTTGATTATGTGTGGGAGGAGAAATGCTAACTTTATAATTATTATATTTTTATTATATGATTCATTATCAATTTTTTAGGGCTAAGTGAAATAAATTAGTAGTTGAAATTAAAAAAAAATTAGTGAAAGATAATAAAATAAAATAAAATAAATGAATTTGAAGCATTGGATGAGGGAATATGCATATGAATGTACGTCGGTACAGTGATTATGCATTCTGGGAAATTAACACAAGAATTGGAAGTATTTGGGTTGGCCATAATGAGCCAATGACTGGCCATAATGAGCCAATCATTGGCTGGAAAAAAATATTGTTGAACAGATTTATTTATTTTTTAAAAAAGGATTGATTTTTTCGTTAGCACTGTTCTAATTAAATTAATAGTGCAAATTCTATATATTGGTCATTATAGTATGAATCTAGTGTTGATAGGTGGACATGTGTAATTAAATATTATATGTGCGGTGTTGCGTTAATGTCATTCAAATTTTGATAGTGAAAAAGAAATAATCAAAATTTAATCCTAGGCTTGAAACTTGAAAAACTATGATAGTGGAAATTTCAATTGACATCAAGAATTACGAACTTGATTACAAATTTGGGTGAATTTTAGCTCAAGGTTAAACAAAAAAAAATGTGGGTATTATTAGTTCCGCAACCTTATTGTGAATTTATATACTTGAATGGATTGCATCAATTTGGAAGCTCAATAGAAAGGGAAGACTAAAGTCCCGGAGTGATTATTCTAGTGGCTAAGGCAAGTGGATTTCTAAACTCTTGTTAAGCATATGAAATTCGTGTATTTCCTTGTGTGTTGTTGAGAATGATTTGGAGACTTGTTGCTTATTTGTTAGTGTTGTATTCCTTGCTGCAAATTGTGCTTTGTTATCACAATGTTATCTCCTCATTTCTCATTTGAGCATGTCATTTGCATTGTATCTGAGACATGATTGTGATAAGAGTTAAGTAATAAGAGGATGTACTATTTCGAAGGTCGTACCGCGCGCCGCGATGGATATTATATTTCGAGGGACATATCACGCGTCGCGATGGTTACTATAATCGAGGGTCGTGTCATGCGCCGTGACAGATGCATGGACAGATATGTTCCCCATGGGTCCCCGACTGAGAGACAGTGGATGCGTATCGTTAGGGAAGACATGCATCACTATACTTGACATTGCATCTCATGGCATTGCACATTTTATTATTGATGAACTTGAACACGTGTTTTGCTGATATTTGTGAGTGTTTCTCTGTGAAGCTTGTGACTGTTGAATATTGAGTTGTTATTGAGAATGTGTAAACTGATAGACTGTGGTTATTGAGTTGTGTGTTTGGTAAAATGTAAACTGTTAGACTGTAGCGTGGAGGTTTAGATAGGGTGTAAGGAGTGCCCATACTTTGTTCACTTAACTTGTGTTTAGAGGTTTGCTTATTGGGTACCGCGTGGTTTGGTACTCGCCCCTTGCTTCTAAAAACTTTTGTAGGTTACGAGCCCGAATCTTCATGATACCTGTCATTCTTTTCGTTTTCGAGGCATCTTGTGGAGGGTTGTGAGGTAGCTGCTTGTCATCTCAGCGAACTTTCCTACTCTAGTTTATGACTTTGTTTTACTTGAAAGACAACTTCATTTGACTTCTATTTTATTTCAATTCTAATATTTACAATAGAGGCTTGTGCACATGACAACCTGGTTTTGGGGATTGAATTAATATGACTTGGTTTCATAATAGAAATTGTTGTTGTATTGTCATTTACTTCCGCACTTTGTTAGATATTGGATTTAAGGCTGACTTGTCTTGGTGGGATCGAACGAGTACCATCACACCCATTTTTGGGCCGTGACACAAATTTTTAAAGAAACATTCTAAAATTTATGTGGGGGTATCTTAAAATAATAATAAAAAATTCTAAAGCAAGTGTATAAGGAATCATAGATGATCTCTATTCAATATTAACCAAATCGTGTATGTTTTTGCTGTAAATTGAATCTTAGGTATTAGTTGATACTTAATGATAATAAATAGTAACTGATAGTGTGATACTCAATATCAAATGATGTTATATACAATCTGACATTTATTTGAATATGATACAAGATATAAGATCATATATTCATTAAATGTTATTTAAGTATCATATGTTTTAACTATTTTAGATTATGTTACATTGTTATGCATATTATACCCCATCATATAATTTGATCTTTAATTTAGCCTTTGATACATTAATCATAATATATCAACAAAATACACCAAAATTTAAATTTTTCTGTAAAAGCGGTAGATTTAAAACAAGATACATAACAATATGATACTATATCATTTACAATAATGTATCAAATATAAAGCAACTAACAATGGGGAAAACATAAATTTAAAACAAACAAATAGATACTAAATAAACAGATATATTTGAATATCCTGATAAAAATGCATATCCCGAATACATTAATACAAAGGTATATCAACGAATAAATACATTTGATACTTTGATACAAGAATTACTATAGCGAATCGATACCCTTAAATATATTGATATGAATATCTTATAATGAAAAATACACAAAAGTTCACCATAAACAAAAAAAATACATTATGATCTAAAAATATCGTAAAAAATACATAAACAAGTTGAAACACTCACTCCCACTATGTTAGGCATAAAAAGTAGTATAAATTTAAGGAATCCCATAGTGTAAATCAATAATTACATTCTGTCCCGACAAGTTTACTAATTACAAAAAATCCCTTAAAATTGCTGAGCCGTGATACTTTAGAAAGTTGTGATACATGGTAAATGATACATAGTAACTTAAAATTGTTAAGAAAAAATAGGGGATAAAAACGGACAATTTACAGCTGTTACTAAAACAACTTAAATTGTGGTAACAGATCATTAATCAGCATTAAATCAGCACTTAATTGGATATTAATTTCATAATTTGAGAATCAAAGATTGTATCAGTTATTTAGAAAACAATTGGAGTTGCCGAAATTTTTTTGTTGTTGCAGTGGGTTTTTGAAGATGAATACTTCGATTTTGATTAGACATTCCGGAATTTGGGTGAACGAATTGCAGTATGAAAATTACAAAATTGATGGAATCGTTGTTGGAGATTCAATTTCGTTTTCTAATCTCAAAGCAGCAATTGCGGCCGAGTTGGACATTGATGTATCAAGGAAAGAAATTGAAATTCGATACATTGTAGAAGGTAACTCCTGTCCGATGAAACTTAAGAACGATATGAGTGTTAAACTATATTTTGAACTGAAAAAAAACGAGCCTGGATTTTCAATATATCCATTATATATTGACACAATTGAGAAGAATAGTGGTACTGTACATAACTTTGATGGAAGAAGTGGAGAAATAACGTGTGTAGAAGGCACAACAAATGATACACAGGCTTTGGCAATAGTTGAAAATAGCTTATTTGAGACACATGAAAATTCAGAAGTTGGAGTTGCAAATGTTATAATAAATTCAGATATTGTTGATGTGAAGACAAGTCAGATATACAAGGATAAAACAACACTTGTAGATGTGATGAAGAAATATAAGATAAAGAACAACTTCAACTGCAAAGTGAAGAGGTCTGATCAACAAAGGTATGACAGTATTTTGATGTTTTAATGTATCATGTGTTGTTTTATAATTTAATTAGTACATGAAACATTACTGTTCTATATGAAAACCTGCAAGTTTCATATGTTATTTTATAATTTAATGTATCATCATTTCAGGAATTTGTTTTTGATACATTGAAATAAGTATTTTGATACTTGAAAGTACTACTACTGATATAGTAAGGACTGTATCATTTTAAACAGTCATATCACAAATAGTGGATAAATTTCATTAAAGTTTGATACTTTTCTTAAAAATTGGTTGATACTTTTTGTGTGATTCATTGTTTGATTAATTTAAACATTATTGTTGAATATATTATATATGATGTATTTGATATGTGTATTAATATGCTTAAAAAATGTACGCAGCTATGTGTTGGTATGCTTTTCAGACAAATGTGGTTGGACTATGAAGGCGTCGTGCAGGAAAAAATCTGATATATTCATTGTTAGAAATTTCAATAGTGAACATACGTGTCCGATGAGGGAGAGGGTATTAACCAAAGTCCAAGCAACAGTGGGATTTGTAAGTGGAGTGACAGCTCCAAAATTGGTCAATTATAAACGAATTTATACACCAAGGGATATAATTGATGATATTAGAGAATATTATGGTGTTGAAATATCTTATCAGCAAGCATGGCGTGCTAAAGAACGTGCACTCTCCATGATTAGAGGAAAACCATCTGCTGGATATAGACGGATGCCGCGATACATACACATGTTAAAAACTGTGTATCCAGATTCTTATATAAGAAAGCATAAGACTGAAGAGGATGAATTTATGTATCTGTTCATCGCCTTAAGACCATTCATTAGGGGATTTAAATACTGCAGACCAGTAGTTGTTGTGGATGGTGCACATCTGAGTGGAGCTTACAAAGGGACATTTGTATCAGCAAGCACACTTGATGGCGCAGGTATTTTTTATTTATAGTAATGATGTCTTTTTATATATTAAGTATCAAATAATATAATGTGTGTGTAATCAGGTTGCATATTTCCATTGGCATATGGTGTTGTTGACACCGAAAATGATTGTTCGTGGAAATAGTTTTTTGAACAGTTCAAACATGCATTTGGCGATAGAAAAGATATGTGTGTTGTTTCAGATAGAAATGAGAGTATCATGAAGAGTGTAAGGATTGTGTTCCCCGATGTACCTCATTATGCATGCATCTGGCATCTTTGGAAGAATGTATGTGGAAACTTCAAAAGGAGCAGAAAGGCCATAAGTGATCTATTCTACTCTATGGCCAAGGCATATAGAAAGGAAGATTTTGATAAGTTGATGGCTAAGGTTGATAGAATTGATCACAGGGTTAAGGAGTACCTTGAATATGCAGGTTACGAAAAGTGGTCAAGAGTTCATGCAACAGTAAACAGAGGTAGAATGATGACTTCAAACATTGCAGAATGTATCAATGGTTGTCTTGTTGAAGCACGCCAATTAACTATATTAGAATTCTTGGAAGAGGTTAGAATTCTTTTTGGATCTTGGCATTGCAAAAACAGAGAAGTAGCCTCATACACAAAGGACACATTAGGTAGAAAATTTGAGGAATTGTTGATTATAAACGCAGCTAAAAGTTCAAAAATGGAGGTATGTATCATTATATGATACTTTATATTATATATATCTAATTCTGTGTATCATTATGCTTTTTTTAACATGATTTGGTTTTTAAAAGTTATATATTTAAAATTTTTGATGTACACAGGTTGTTCCATCATCTGAGTTTATTTTCTCGGTTTATAAAAATGGAAGAAGATATATTGTTTGTTTTGAGCGGAAAGTATGTTGTTGTGGTAGATTTCAACTAGATGAGATACCTTGTTCACATGCAATAGCTGTATTGAAAAAAAAGAATGTCACCGATATGAATCCGTATTGCTCTGATTATTACAAGCCTGATGCGTTGGCAAAAACATATGAAATTCCAATGGTGCTAATGCCAGATAAGAAAGATTGGTCAGATCCTAAACACGTGGTAGCTGAAACTGTGTATCCACCTAGATACAGAAGATCATCTGGACGACCAAGAAAAAGAAGAAGAAAGAATGCAGATGAAAAGATTTCGGTGAACACAAATTGTTGTGGACAATGTGGACAAGAAGGGCACAACAGAAGAACTTGTACTTTCTACCCAAAAGAGAAGTGAATTTGTCGTAATGTTTCTATGATATAAAGAATAATTTATCACGTAAACATTTAAATGAATTTCAGTTTTAATTACGACTGCAAATTGAACACTTTGTGTTTAGATAAATAAACGTACAAACATGTGGTAATTACATTTGAAGTCGTGCTTATGATTATAAATACTTTCTTATTATTGGTGTTGATAAAAATACTTGTGTCAATATTTGTTTTGAATATATAAATCTTATGCTACAGTAAGATAACATAATGTACATGATACATATGGTTAATCTAGTGTATCATGTACATTTATTGTGTATTTTTTGTACACATTGTTTATATAAAGTATCATGTACTTTTAGTGTGTATCATTAGTTTGCACAATGATACATCTCCATTAGATAAAAAATACAAATATATTGTTAATGTTATTGAGTACTTTAGAATGACTATAAATCATGCATCATGTGAATTTATATAATTTAACTTGTGTAATGCTTTTTTTGATATGCTTTTATTGAAATATACAGTAAATAACTTTCCTTTAAAAAAATAATAGCAATTCATATGAATATGCTATTCAATTTACGTAAGTATCTTGTAAAATTTAAGGATTAGAGTGTAACATATTGTACATTATACATACGGTTTGGCCAATGTATTAGTTATTTTTAGTGTGTTTCTGTTACAGATGTATCATTTGGTTTTGGCAGTGTATCATCTAGATTAAATAAAAAATTTAAAAATCTTTATGTCTATGTTTGATTATAAATACTTTGATTATACTTTATTAAATGATTTAAACCTGGTTTTGTCAGTATATTTATTATGTCTATTTTTAATTAAAAATTTAAAAATGTTTATGTCTATCATTTGATATTTATATCTTCAATATAAACAAATTTGTTACGTAATGTGAAAAAAATATTCATGGAAATTGACAAAACCAAAAAAATAACATTAAAAAGGATAAAAATAGTTGTTCAATAACATATAAAAATAATAAATATAACATTAAAACATTGTTTTATCATGAAATGCTACGCTATGTGAACTAAATCTTCTTCTGGTGGTGGTGTGACTACGCCCCTGGATTTTGGTGGATCATCATTGTCGCTAACATATCCGCACTTAGTCTTCTCAATTCCATAACTCCACAGCAATGCTCCATATCTTTGACGCAGGTAATCAGGATTAAAATCAGCATAAGATATATTGATTTGGTCACTGATATACTCGGCAAATGCAGTAACATATAACCCACAGTCTCTACAAAAAATACAGAATAAATTAAAAACTTAATGATACATTAAAAAGGGCAAGTGAAAAAATTCTTGATACTTACAGGCTATCGCTTTCCTGTGTAGGGATGTCTTGTGAAAATTCTATCATGAAAGGAACTTGAGGCTCCAGAAGTGATCCATTATTGTTGTCTTTATATGCTTGACAATCAGCAAAATTTGTGCGTTCATTTTCTTCAAAAAAAACCACTGTCAAGTAGGTATGAAGGAAGCATTTTAGACAACATCTTGATCTCATGAGGAATTGTTTGTTTCCTTGTGCTAATTGATGAGTCAAAAACCCTTATCAACCTGTTTTTCAACTCAACAACAGCCAACACCCAATGGAATTGTTGATCACAGTTAATTGGGATGTAGACCTCATCTACAAGATGCCATGGTAAAGCAGCTGGTATTCCAAACCCTTTGATGATGTTAATTATTGACCTCTCATGTACAGATACAACTGAAGCGCGATCAATATGTTCTTGTGTAGTAAGACTATCATCATCATCGTCCATGTAATATCTATCATAACAGTTTTTTACATGTGACATGAACAAACAGTGGGTTGTTGTGTATCTGTATTGATCCATGCTGCAAAGTTTTGATTTTTTACGAAGGTAGTAAAAAATCACATCGATGTGCTATAAACAAAATGAAAACAGAGTAAGAAATTATTTACATCTAAACAATATAAAAAAAGAAATATAATTATGTGAATATAGTATGATACTTTTGCAAATTAAATAGTATGATACTTATACATAATGTATCATTGCTAATTAAATAGTATGATACTTATAGATAATGTATCATGACGTTATAATATAGTTATGACTGATACATATTTCATAAATAGTTTAATATTTTACCTCATCAGACCAACACTTGTTTTGCTGTGACATGGCATAAAACCAATTCTTGTTCATTGGAAAAGCAACAACAAAGTCCATCATCGTAAATCCAAAAGAAGAAGATCTTGATCTGTATTTATCGTCCGATGGGTTCCTGCATATATGATACTTAAGTTTTCAATGTATCCACATGATACATAACACTCAATTATTTACAGTTTTTATATAACAAAGTATAATGAATTAGTTGTATATAAAATGATTACGCCTAACACTGAGAAAAAAAATGTATAAAACTTACTTATTGTTATGATTTTTTAGAAGCCCCCTCAACAACCAATTCATGTAATCCTCAATCAGTTTCGGTGAAACTTTATCTGCAATGCCACATCCTTCGAACGGGAAATGGAGTCGAGCCATATCCTTCAATTTCTCTTTTCCCTTTTCGCTTGACCCAAGAAAAGTACAATATGGAGATTGAATCCTTCTCGAAGGCATTCTATTTCTATGCGCAGGAGTGACTGCATCAGTTTTAACAGCAATCCCCGTTATTGGAATTTCAGTGGGTAATTGACTGTCGGTCAACAAGTACTGGCTGCTAGTTATATTCTTTGGATCGTAAGAATATAATGGTCTAGAATTGGTAGCATCTTTACCCAAATCTTTGATAAGCGCTTCTATTGCTGCTTGAGTTGATGGCGATATTGTTGTTGAAGTTGAAGAATCCTGTATAATATGATGTAATGATTTTTAGAATAAATTTGTGTGTAATGAAATTGTGTGTCATAAATCAAAATTGAAAAATGTACCGATGAATCTGTTGTTGTTTTTTCGGGCAACACATGAGGGATGTTGTGATGAACATTGTCGTCAACGGCTTGGTCCATGATATGTTCATTTAAATCTTGGTGCGACTGATGTGCGTCACCATCCTGAATATGCAGTTTTGAAATAAAAATTGTTAATATAATTTGTGCTGATACGTAACATTGATAACAATCACATGATACATAGTATTGATTAAATATGAATGATACATGACAGAATATAAAATGAGAAAAAAAATGATCATGATACAAAGCATTGACTATATGTGCATGATACACAACATACCCACTGTATCATAAACATTACCTTTGGATCAGTGACTATTGGTTCACCCTCATTTACGGCAACACCAACACCATCCACATCGACATCCCCTGCATCGTCGATGATATGATGCTCACCATTTTTACCAGAAAAACCACCACCATCCTCAGCTACACCACCCATATCATCGAGATCAACCGGTATTTGCTGAGATGTTTGTTTGTCAGACTGAAATGTGCTTGTATCAGCCTGAAAATTGATGTTCTCTTTGCTAATAGATTGCATCAGCTGGGAGTGATTTGCTTTTATCAAAATAATCAATTTCTCAAATTTGTTGTCAACATAAAAATTGTAGATACATTTAGGATAAATAAAAGTTTGTTTAAAAATTACAAAATAATTTACTTACGTAAGTTTTCAAATATCCTTTCAACTCTTCAATATGAGGAATTATATTGTTGACATTCTGTGAATCTGCATATCCATGAACATCAGCAGCCGGGTTCTGAGAAACGTCTGGAACAGAACCATGTACATCAGCAGCCGATTTCGGTGACACTTGTGGAACAGAACCATGTACATCATCAACATTCGAATGTTGAGGCAGACTTGACATGGAAACATGTACATCATCATCCGGTGTCGGAGACACATTTGATTGATCAGGCTGTTTCTGTTCTGACACCTTCTTTTTTTGAATAATCGATTTTTTTCTTCTTTTTGGCGGTGGTGGAGGAGATGTATCAGACACTCTAGAATATGTCCTCAATAACTGTTCTGGCGGTTTTGTGGAGAAATCATCTAAATCATCTTGCTCGTTTGGTTGTACTAATGGTATTGATGTAGAATGAGCATGTTCAACTTGAGCAATATCAAAAGCTTCAATTTCCTCTGCTGTTGGGACAATGTTTGAACATGCATTCTAAATGTATCACAAACACATAAGATAATTTAACTGTTAGATACAGTAATAATTCATAATGTATCACAAAGACATAAATAACGATATTCCATATACAAAAATAAAATTTTACCTTTTGGAAAATGGTGGACATAAGCATTTCAAACTTTGCCTTTTCAGACACAACTCTCCAATTGCATATTCTTGGGATGACATTGCGTTCTCTCATAGCTATTTCTGAATTTAAATTGGATGCACATTCGTATATCCAAACATTTAGTGCATATGACATCCCATATAATCGGTACAACTTTTTACTAACGTCAAAATCCTGTCTAAGTGAACCAATTAGTTTGGAAAATGATAGCTGACCCCAAGGAAAATGTTGATATCTACCATCTTCAACCATTAGAAAGTCGACAATAGATATCGCTGTGTTATCAATAGAAGCTAATACAAATGTATGAATAAAGAACAGTATAGACATTTGGAGTGCATCCTGATTGCTCTCCCAATTACCCATCTTAAACCTTTGAACTAGTTGATGCTTTGTAACACTATTGACTGCACCAGGGAAATACTTTTTAAAAAGCATACAATTAGTTTGTTCTGGGTATTTGAAATCATTGGTATTTCCTCTGACCTTAAGTCCTGTTAATAATGCAAAATCATCTATACCAAATTTCAGGACACACCCGTTGGAATGTCTAATACGCAACATATTAGGGTTGCTTTGTTCCAATTCTAAAAGCAATAAGCACTTAGTTATTTGGCCCTGAAAATTACATTTAGATATGTCTAAAAAGGGTCCAAAAATTGTATCCTTAAACATTTGGATAACATTATCCCCCACGTATTTTTCAAAGTCCTTTAGGAAATTGTTGTTAAAGTTGACAGCAAACCTTATGGGATGTGTTGGTATCTTTTTAATCATGTACTTCAGTGGCTGCAATTTGAAAATAAAACCGCAAATTAAAACGATATAGAAATATAACTACTAAATAAAACAACCAATAACTTAATGATACAAGGTTTCAGTTTTCAGAATTTCATACTATATGAAAAACATGTGATACATGTCTATAACATGTATCATTGAATTAAATAAAACATTATAACATGTGATACATGTCTAATACATGTATCATAAACAGCGACTAAACAACATACACAAAGAATCTATATGTATCATCAACTATATCTGATTAAGCATTTATTAAACTTAATGAATGATACATTATAACAAGTTTCAAAACATGTATGAGTAAATCAACTAAACAACTAATACCTTATTGATACATGATATCATACAGGAATTCATACTACATGCAGAACATGTGATACATAGCTACTACATGTATCATTACATTTACTAAACAATGTACACACAGATTCAACATGTATCATCAAGCACAGATTATACTTTACTACACTTATTGAATGATACATTATAATAATTTTCAAAAACCTAATGATACATATAAAATATTATGAAACACAACAAATTCACGTATCAGTTGACCATCTAAAACACTATACACCCTTTTTAAAATGTATCAGCAAGCACACTTGATTCCTTAAAAATTTTACTAATTTAAACAACACCATTTTTAAGTACCAATATACTAACCCGAGACAATGTAGGCCTAACAACAGTGTTTGCTGCTTCTTTTTTCCTTTTTGGTTGTATTTTTACAACCTTTGATGTTTCGCCATGGTCTTTGTTTGAATCCTTTTGAAGATTCATAGGATCATGCAAAAGACTTTTTCCTATTTTCTTTCCAATTATCATCATCGGAATCATATATCCTTCTATTGATTGACGGATCCATTACTATGAAGTAATAGAACAATTAACAAAAACGAAAAAGAGAAGAATATATGAATTGATGATGGATTAACTATAAAAAGGGTCTGGGTTCTTACGATTCAATATTAGGAAGAAATAGTCGAATATGGATTAAGAATAAAAAGAAGAAAATAGAAAAATCTGCTGGGTTGAGAAGATTCAAATTTATGAAGGGATGAAGACGATTAAGGAAAAAAAAGAAGTGCAACGTGACTTTGGTAAGAACGGTAGAATGCAGTGGAACCCTGCTTCTATGTTTTTTGAATTTTGAAATTCAAAATTTCAAAATTTGTTCTTTTATTTAAATTTAATTAAATTTAATAATTCAAAATTAAAAAGATGATTAAAAGGTTGAGTGTTTAAATGGAAAAAATTTAAAATTCAAAAACTGATTTAAGAGGTTGAGTGTTTTAATGGAGAAAAAATAGGCATTAAAATTGGTAAATGTGTATTATAGGAGAGAGAGTTTAATGTATCTAAAAACTTATACTAAAATAAAAAAAATAGGGAATTATGTAATATTTAAAAAAAGTAGGGAAAATTAGAGAATATAAAAATTATAGTTGTGTATTTAAGTTATTTTTACTAAAAAGTATATGCACAAAATGAAACACACACCGATTAACATAGTCTATTAAAAACTCATTTGATCTAAAAAAAAATACACGCTCATCTTTAGAATAGTGTGGTATAAACAAGATGATGGAGGAAGAAGATGTTGAAAAAAACAATGATTGAAGAGGAACCATGACAAAATTAACTAAAAAAATAGAAATACAAAAAGTTACTTAATTGTGAGAAATTCTGAATGATTGGAGATTCACATTTAGAATCAAAATATATTTGAAAAAGTTATTAAATGAATAAGCCTGATCCATATGTATCAACAACAAAAATTGAACAATTTTTTTTTGAAGAAGACAACGATGGAGAAGACAATCCCTACCTATTCAGATGTTTGAAATAGATTGACTGGAGAGAGAATCTTTTTTAGAATAAAATTTGACTTGAAATTGTAAATGCTAAGACCGCGGAGTGAATTTACGGAGAGCAAAATTAAGTGAAAAGAGGAGTGGTAAACGTGGGTTTTGCCAGTGGATTTTATGTATCCGAATTTTTTTGAAATTGGGAGAAATAAAGAATTGTGAAATATTTTTAAAAGGTGGGGATAAATGGACAATAAGGTAAGTTAATGTGTTTATATAAGTAATTTTTTCTTTTTATGAATATTTAATTGGTGTTTAAAAAAGTGTAAAAATAAATGTAATAATAAAGACACAATAAAAAATTTAAAAGTTGTTTTATGAAATCAGGATTTGTACAGAAAATTAGTGCTCCTACAGAAAATAGAGGAAATTAAAATATATAAAATATTATTATTTCAAAATATTACCTCTTATTCAAAATATGAGTAGTTACACTTAAAAGAAGCATATATAAATTATACATATATATTCGTATACATAATAAGAAGCTACAGCAGCAGCTTAGTGTTGTCCAGCTTGCTTTGCCTAGCTAGTTGCAGCATTACATTTCATGCAAAAGGTTCCAAGATCAAACCTAGGCAATGTCACTTTTCAGTTTTTTTTTTTATCTTAGTCCTTTTACCGTATATTTCCTCCGTTCACTTTTAATTATTGTGATTTTTTTTATCATATTGATATGAAAAATTGCAATCCATAATATTTTTTGTGTAGGTTTTGAATATCTAAGTTTTTTGTTAAAAATATCGCATCAATGTGACAGACTAGTAATTGGTATAGTTACCAACTTCAATTAGTACATCCGATCCTAAATTCTTCAGATATCAATCTTGGGAATGTCAATCTTTATTTGCTAACAAAAATTTAGTTGTTTCTCCAAATTCTACTGTTCCTCATAAAATGAGACTAAATAAGTAACATATATTATTTAAAAATGATCTAAAATTACTAAAAATCACAAAAAAAATCAATTTAAAATATTTAGGAACCACATTAAAAATGGTTAAACTCTTGAACACAGAAAGTAACATATGTTATGAAATACTCAAATAAAAAGATACTATAAATTAAAATAGTTGATAACTTAAAATATCCACATGACAATTTGTACTGTTTCTGTCACATAAATTAGGATTGAGATGGTTTTAAAGTTTCAATTTTTATTAGACATTATAAAATAATCGAATAAGTTTATTTTTACTTAAATTTAAAAAGATTTATTTCATTTCTGCCCTTAATTTCATTGCTTTCTTTATTTTCTAGTTAGCAATTATATAACTTTTATTCGTATTAAGCTTGGGCAAACTCCGACCCTTTGTTTACTAGTATATATATATATATATATATATGAACGTAACATGTCACACATAAAAAAGAAATATCAATATTATCTTATATATCTGATACTAATCTAAACATAGATATTACATATTATTATTTTATATTTCACATAATGGCAAAAGCGCGGACAATTTCAGCTAAAGCTTCACCAGGCAGATGTACAACTCATATTTGGGCACTGGAATAGAGAGATCCTAGGTTATGTAACTTTAATCTATTTTAAAGATCTTGTTTTTGGATGTA